GTGTGTGTGTGTGTGTGTGTGTGTGTGTGTGTGTGTGTGTGTGTGTGTGTGTGTAAATGTTTGTCAAATAGGTTGTTTTAACACAGATTATAAAGTATGTCAGTCATAAATCAGATTAACACATCCATCTGCTCTACTGTTTCATGACTTATTCTGTTTTTTGTAGTTAAAATAAAACAATATCTAAATGAGGTTTATTTTAACCATGCACACATGTGACTGTGTTTGTGTGTGTGTTTGTGTGTGTGCTTCCAGCTGATTTCCCTCATAGAAAACAACTCTGTTGTCATCATTCGAGGAGCCACAGGCAGTGGCAAAACCACTCAGCTGCCACAGTACATTTTGGACCATTACAATGAAAAAAATGCCCCGTGCAACATTGTGGTCACCCAACCACGCAAAATTGGAGCTACCAGTATTGCTCGATGGGTTGCCACACAGAGGAAATGTACGCTGGGTAGTCTGGTTGGATATCAGGTTGGTGCAGCATTTAAAAAGATTTTGATTTACTTAAAAATACTTCACAAGTACATCGCCCATCCAGAGGACCCACTTATTTTTTTCTTTTTGATTTTTAACTTCACAAGTACATACATATCTACAGTACATGCTTACCTATTTTGAACCTGTTCTGCAGCAAAGCAGTGCAATGTTAGTGTGGACAAATTTAGCTCTGGACATTGTCTAATAATAACTTCTCATTCTCGACTCGGACCTCTGGAGTTAAGGATAAAGTCACTGACTGTCTGAGAGTAATAGTCACTGTTAAATTAAAGACCGTTTTGTAATCTGGTTTCTTGTTTTTAGTTTTACGTAATTTTGTGTTTATGTAAAATCCTATTCTGATGGAATTAGTTTTACCTAGGGACCACATGCTATTTGTAATAATTGCAGAGATTGTCTGTGTTGTCAATCCCGTGCAAATCAGCCATGTCAGTTTTTAAAATAAAAATTCCCCTGCAAAATTACCTAGTATATTTTGCTGAACTTAGAGGTCCTGTGACAATAGTCATCCAATGTGAATAGGCATCTCTGTGATTTGGACAGTAATGGTCTGAATCCAATATGTAATTAGGCAGTATATATATCCTGGGCACATTTTTATTTGCCTTTGGTAAAGAATGGAGGCTGGATTGGAGAGCATTGAAAACCTTTTGGGTCCAGGGCCAGCACAACCCTACCCACCTGTAACGTGCGGCATAAAAAAATGGCTGAAGAGAAGGAGCAAAATCAGCTGCAAATGGTGGCTCACATCATGCATTGCACTGTATGGTAAGAATACTTCTGTTTGTAGCCTTCTGGCTGACGCTGGCAGTAACACATTGCTGAGCTGTGGCTGTAGTGCCGTGCTTAGTCACGCTTTGGGTACACGCGCAGGGTGCACACGCACCATCGCCAGCAGTATAGGCGTTTATACTTTGCTCTTACATTGTTATTCTCCAAAAGGACGTGTGGCAGAACACCTTATAACTTTATATCAAAAGCTTGATGAACAAACTGTTGGAATGGTGTGCGGTGCGCACAGCCTTTGCAGAGTTATATCCAGGGGATGTCCGTAAACCTCAGGAAAATCTCAGGCTTCGGTTATCCCGTGTGAATGCGCCACATAAAAAATAGACAGAAAGTAATTTATTTATTACATGGGGTCCCCAGATAATGCTTATCCAGTGCGAATAGGGCTTAAGTTGCCAAAAGTTGTTCATTGTTCTCAGTCATATCTAAAATTTGCTCCCAAATTGAATTTCTCTTTGGAACCCAGTGGGTTTATATAAAGTTCTAAAGTGAAAAGAAGTGGTGACTGATGTTGTTCTGTAGTAGAACTGCCAGGTGAAACAAAAAATGGGCATATTTCACAGATTTATATGCAGTTATGTATTAGAAATGTTTATGAATATCATTTTTTCAGGTTGGGCTGGAGAAGTTGGCCACAGAGCACACTCGGCTGATCTACATGACAACAGGGGTCCTGCTGCAAAAACTGGTCATGGCTAAATGCCTCACAGAGTTTTCACACATTTTTTTGGATGAGGTGCCTAAACTCATCAAGCATAGTTTTCGTAACTAACTCGTACATTTTCTCCTTTTTGTCCCTCAAATGGAAGTCATATGCTTGTGTATTTTCATTGTTGTTGTTTTTTTATATTCCCACTCCCTGACGGTCTTAAATCTAGTTTGATTGCCTTGTCTAAGGTTCATGAGCGCACAGAGGAGATGGACTTCCTGCTGTTGGTTCTGAGAAAACTTCTTCATTCCAACTCTCGTTACGTCAAGGTATTTCTTACATTTAAGTAAAAATCTTGTTTCCTTCCTCGTGCATCACTTGTCACTCCCATGAACTTTTTTTTTGCCAGATAATCCTCATGTCAGCTACCATTAACTGCAGAGTGTTTGCCGAGTACTTCGCCACACCAGTTAATGGTAAAATGAGTCCTGCATACGTGTTTGAAGTGGAGGGAGCACCCTACTCTGTTGAGGAGTTTTACTTGGATGATCTCCACAAATTTCTTCCATGCAGGGTAAAAATTTTTACCAAATTATTATTTTTTTGATGCAGTTCTTAGTTTTAAGACTGTCTTATTCAGGTTGAGTCGCCTCATCCGGATGACCCTTCTATCTCACCTGAGATGTACAATCTTGCCATGAGTCTCATCCAAAGTTTTGATGAAATGGAAAGCAAGAATTTCAGGTGAGGTTGAATCACATTATTGCTTTTATCTGCTTAAAGCAGCTAACTGATAAACACTGTTGGTTTGTCTTCTTTGTGTGTATCTGCATGAGTAGCAAGGCGGAGACAAAGGACGGGATGGCTTCCTCAGAAACAGGAAGTGTTTTGGTTTTCCTTCCAGGTTTAAATGAGATACACTACATGCAGGACGCCCTCGCGAAACTGGCATACAAAAGGTGAGCTATTTAATTGGCAAGAATCATAATTTTATATCAAATAAAAAAATTAACTAGCTGGCTTTTTTTTTTGTTGCTTTTTTGATTCACATTAAGAAGATACTAAAAGAAAATGTTGAATGGAAGCCAATCAAAAAAAAGACTCATGCAAAAAAATCTATCAGGTTTTTGTTTGCATTGAAAAAGCCTTGATGTGCATTTTGACAGTAATTACTCCAGTCTTTTAGTTCTATGTTGTTCTTTTGCCCTTGATATATTAAAACTAACACTTGTATAATACTGTATATAATTATTAACGATGACATTTTACTTGACAATAAATGTGATGCTGTGGATCAGATTTCAGGTTTATCCACTCCACTCGTCAATAACTCTGGAAGAACAGAACGGGGTTTTCCTTCCCCCTGTTCCTGGATACAGGAAGGTAAAAACTGGTGATTTTATCTGATGCAGTGGTTTTATTCTTCTCTTTACTTACAATATTTAGACTTTCATTCATTTATTCCTAGGTGATCCTTTCCACCAACATTGCAGAGAGTTCTGTGACTGTTCCAGACGTCAAATACGGTGTCTTTTTAATTTTTCGCCTAATGTATTAGCTATTGTTTTTTTCTATTAAAAATATTTATGTTGGTGCTTGTTTTCCCACAGTGATCGACTTCTGCTTGGCTCGTCACTTGGTCTGTGACAATGAAACAAACTATCAGTCTCTGCGTCTGACCTGGGCATCCAAAACCAACTGCAACCAACGTAAAGGTAAAATGACTAAAGCAAAGAACTTCAAAGTGCAAATATCTTCCTACCTGTTTTCTCACATTTAAAGTGTTCGCTGTCAGGTAGGGCAGGTCGAGTGTCAAAGGGCTACTGCTACCGTCTTATAACCAAAGTTTTCTGGAGAGAGGAAATTCCTGACTACATGATTCCTGAGATGCTGGTGAGAAATCATTTTATGGTTTTAGTCTTCTGTCTAACCCAGCCATGACCTTTTTATAAGCTTTGTGTTTTCCCTGTTATCAGATGGCTCCCCTGGCCACCATCATGTTGAAGGTGAAACTTCTGGACATGGGCGATCCCCGCTCCCTCCTCTCCACAGCACTCTCACCTCCCAACCTCAGTGATATYGTCAGGACAGTGCTTCAACTCAAGGAGGCCAGTAAAACAGTCCAGAGTAACAGTTCTCCACTTTAAATTCTGTGGTTGTGTAGTCTGGTTTGTACAAGTATGCTGCTGTGGTAATAAATAAATATTCAGATGAAGAGTGGACCACCAGTGTCATGAAGTTCATGACTTCTGTGGCAGATATGCGTCTTCAGTGTTGTGTGAGAATACTGTAGGGTGTGTGTTTCTTGACTAAAGGAAAATTATATATTACCCTTTATCTATAATTAAAATATTTTGACAACAGTCAACAAGTTTTTATTTTAAAAAAAGATTTTAGAATATTTTGAAATGACAGGTTTTGTTCTTCAGATGGGTGCTCTGTCTGCAAAAAACGAAGGTCGAGATCAAAACGATGATGGCGAGTTGACGTTCCTCGGCCGAGTGCTGGCCCACTTGCCTGTGGATCTGTAYCTGGGGAAGATGATTGTTCTGGGTCATGTCTTTGGCTGCCTGGATGAATGTCTCATCATAGGTCAGTTTGTTGTCTTTATATTGGAAACAGGCCTCTGCTTATCTTTGTGTAAATGTTTACAACCTTACAGATATGACTTGATCATCAAATATACCTGAAATGTACTTTTACTTATGTGTTTTTGTTTTTTCCTTTAAGTGGTAAATACTGCATGCATAAAGTCTTTGAATGAATGCTAACACAACGTCCTCTCTTTAGCTGCCTCACACTCTCTGAAAAGCTTCTTTGCTATTCCCTTCWCACACAAGCTTGCAGGCTACAGGTGAGTAACTTCCAGTAGTTGTATTTTGGCAAAACTTKAAGACAAACCGTTCTCACAACTGAGACAGTTCTCATCAGACTTTATTTTTTATTGTGCAGTCCTCCTGTTACATCCCACATACTGTAGGTGATGAATAAACTACATTATTATTGCTTGACGTGGGTATATCTGTGGGCTTCGTGTATTTTGTCATTTTTTTCTTTCTTTTTAGGAGCAAGCTGGCTTTTGCTCGTGGCACACCAAGCGATTCAATCGCCATTGTCAACGCCTTCAAGGTGACACAAGTTTTTGTTATAAAAAAAAATTTGTATGCATGTTTTTTTTTTACATCTAGTCTTTTTTTCCCTCCTTATAGGCATGGCACTCGTCCAAAAAGAAAGGGCAACTGAGACACCCAAAGGTAAACACTGCATGGAAACAATATTTCACTGAAAAAACATTGGGGTCTAATGGTCTGAGCCAACATTATCATGCATTTAATAAAAATTTAAGAACTAGATTGTGCTTAAAACCAGTGTGGGATTTTTATAATTATTGGGAAATAGTTTTGTGTGGTAAAGACCCTGTGGTTGCTCTTGTTGTGTAATGGCACTATAAGCAATATGAGATGACAGATTTTGCAGTTATTTGAAATTAGGAATCAGATTTCAGCTTGGCTCTTGAATTCATCATTTTAACACTTTCACGCACAACCCTTTTATTTTTTTTAAACTAGGCTGACTTAACTGTTTTGCTTGTTACATTAAGATATTAGACTGCAAGAACATTTTTGTAGTAGTCACTACTATTTACTACAAATCTGCATTGAAATAATTTAATTTTTAATTTTTTGTTTGTTTTTAGGGGGTGAGGGTCAAGATTCAAAAGGGTCTAATTTATATAAATGTCTGCTGTTTTATATGTATCAGTTTAACATTTTAATTAGTTTTGTAAATTAAAAAAAAATCTTGTTTACGTTTTACTACAAAGTTTGAAAGGTCTGAAAATTTCTGATGCTGTAACATCAGTTTCAACTATACTAATAATAATAAAAGTTCTGGACTTTTCTCAAGAGTTATAGTAAATCTGCATTTGTTTTATCAAGCATTTATAAACATTTTAAAATACACATTTTGCAGATGTTTAGATTGTAATTGTTTTTTTTTTTTTTACTTTTTTCTCAGGATGAGCTGAGCTGGGGAAGTGAGAACTTCATTCAGATCAAGAGGATCAGAGAGGTGCTTAAGCTGTTGTAAAAATTATGATTTGAATATAAACCTTTTGAGAAATCCTTAACATTTGCTTATTTAAAAAAACAACAACAGAAAAACTGTCTTTAAAGCGCGTGACATGATGTCATATTTTTGATGCATACATAAACTCATCCTGCTGCAGTCATCATTAAGTCGAAACAGGACAGTTTCGTTCTCATTCTTTGAGCTTCTGATGTTCAGTTTAACTCAAACATAATTCAGTTTTTATTTACCGCTCAGGTTGCAGAGCTGTACGAAGATCTGAAGAAGCGCGTGTCCCAGTTCAACATGCACGTTTCAGAGGAAACTCAGTCTTCAGATTACACCAGCACGAACAAGCAGAAGTTCATTCTTCAGGTTAGTCTTTGCTGAAGAAAGGGCAGGTTTATACAGTACACATGTAATTTACAAGGTAGTGGTGTTTTCAGATTTGTTTTGTTATTGAGTTAATAACTGATTGTACTCTTGACTGTTTTTTCCTTTATAAAATGTACTCTGTATTGTAGATTGTCATCGCTGGTGCCTACTACCCCAACTACTTCTTCCAGGCAGAGATTGATGACAACCTGGCGTCCAAAGAGCTGAGTGGCTTCAACCCAAGAACAACTGTGATGGTATTAACTTCAGTGTTGGAATAAAAACTTTTTTGTTATTTACAGTGAAGAGTCCTTCAGATCTACAGAGAATTAGATTTTTCTGAAGGATTATTAAAACTTCATCTTTGATAACAGAATCAAAGCATGTTTGCCAGGCTCAGCTGTACTAAATGTAAACATTGTGTTAGGATAACATTCTATTCAAATGTTAAATTAATTATAAACCTGTTAGTATGCTTTTATTCTTAGGCAAAACACTTAAAGTTCCACTATTACCATAATTTTAAGTGTATTTTTTTTATCTTTTATTGTTCAGTTTTTCAAATCATGTCATGTAAAAGATTTGTGTATAGTCTTTATCAGGATAGTTGTGGGAAATGTTACTATAGTTTCCTATAAACTTAATAAATTTTTATTGGTCTGTGATTTTCAAGTTTTTGTTATTTTATTATCCAAGTATTTTGTTGTTTTCAGGTGAGGAACCTCCCTCCGTACAGCTTCCTGTATTACAAGCAACTCCAGTCTTTGTTCCGCTTGTGTGGACAGGTCAAAACCATTTCTTTTGAGAGCTCCAGGTACCAGGCTCCAGTGGAGCAAAGCAGACATCCACACTCAGTATTTTGTCTTTTCTAACCTTTGCCAATGTTTATTATGTCACTGTATGTGTGTTCACGCCCACAGAGCATACGTGGAGTTCCACAGGACATCCGGGGACACAGGAGTGCTGCCTGAGGTGTCTCTTGCCCTCCTAATGTCCAATCCAAACTCCCCGATGCAGCTTTCAGTCTACCCCACTGAACAGATTGAATCATGTTCTGGGAACAGGCTGATAACTCACATGAAGTTTTCTCGGTTCGGCTCCATTTACTTAACTACTGTTTGAGTTTACATTCTTATTAATGTTGATCTTGAATTCATTTTAGTGACTTCTGTGTCACATCTGCATTTCTCAGTCTGGGTGTAATTTAATATACTTTACAGCCCTGCATGAGACTTTGCAACAATCCTTGGATTCAGAGAGGGGAGGTTTTAGGCAGACACAGAATCAACTTCCTCCTTACGCCCTCTTGTTGTTGGGAAATGTAATGACAGGCAATGAAACAGTCCCTAAAATAAGATTAACTGTTTTAACCATTGTTTTAATGATAATTATCAATTGAGTAATTATTGGGKTTTTTTTTAAATCTTTTTTACACTCTTTAACAAGAACATATTTGTGGTTTCCTATAAACATGTTATTAATGCTGTTTAGTTTAGTTTTGAAGTACAAGGTTACATTAAAGCAGCAAAGGTGTGAGGTCAGTTCAGATAAATATGTTCATACTGTAACATGATAGGGGTCTGTGTTGCCCCTCTGCAGTGTGAATGCAGACATCCAGAGCCAGTCTGTCTCCCCAGTTGGCGTGTTGAGCAGCATCGACCCGGCCAGCCTGCCTTCCAATCGCCTCTTTGTCGTGAACATCACAGAGGTCAGACTTTGACAGATATAAATTTCAGGATGAAATATTTCTTAACTCTAAAAAAACACGTTTATTTAAACTCTGTGCTGCAGGTGTTGGATGTGGGTCATTTCTGGGGGTTCCCAGCTGATGAAGCCAGCTTGGAAAAGCAACGCCTTCTGACAGGAGAGATCAACAAGCGCACCCTGAGCCCTGTGACGGTGTCGCTCTACCCAAACCTGCTGTGTCTGGCGCCGTACTCCGAGAGCAGTGAGCAGTGTTTGTATTACCGAGCAAAGATCCTGCACATGCGTGGTAATACCGTGGAGGTGAATATTTGTCATGTTGTATAATCCTCTGATTGAGATGTGACCCGTTTGCCCTGTTGTATTTTTGTTTTTGTCCTATTTTTTGGTCCATGTATTAAAATAATGTCTGAAATTCTTTTTCAGCAGACTCATAATATTTAAAAACAGAGCTTAAAAGACAAGTTTTGTTGAGCATAAACATAAGAACATTTACTCCAATTAAACTTCTGTCCTACTCAAAAAAAATCAGTCAAAATAATATATAGTCTATATTATTAACAAACTGCATAGATGTAAAAATTGTTGATTAAGAGTATTTTACATGTTTACAGGTAATGAAATAAAATGTTTAAACCTAAAGCTATAACATTAAAGCACAGAGGTCTTCAAATAAAGGCTAAAAACTCAGTATCAAACACTATGGTTCCTCTCATTCTATAGGTGTTCTTTTTGGACTTTGGTAACACAGCAGTTGTTTCCTGCAGCAGCTTGAGAGAACTCCCGTCTGACCTGCTGTCTCATCCTTTTCAGGTATTATTATTATTATTAGATCACGCTGTCTGGTGGTAAAACATGTCACCTTTGATATAAAAAGAACTCTCTGTTTCAGGCCCAGGAGTTCCAAGTAGTTGAAATGTGCCCRTCATCTCAGTCCATCATCCTGGGGAACCGGTGGAGCAGCAGCGCCCGCAACTGCTTCATGATTCTGGTGAAGGATCAGTCGGTCATCGTGTCTCTGTTCTCCATCCTGTACGGCGTCATGCGTGTGGAGGTGTTCATCAACGTGGAATCCAAAAAGACCAGTGTGGTGGACATACTGGTGAAAGAGGGATACGCTGTGAAGACAGATGAGAACTTTGATTCTCAGGTGACACACCAGTGGGGCACGTCTGTGCTTATTAATCCAGATAATCTGATCTAAAGAAATGCTTGATGCCTCTTTTCACAAAACACAGATTTTATGATTGATGTAGACAATATTTTTCAAAACTGCAAATTTTGTTGCAGTTCTTTGTTAATAAATGAATATGTAAACTGATGTTTTATTTTATTTTTTTGTTCACAGCAAATCCACGAGACATTGATGACTCTGTATAAGGACATGGAAAAAGGAACATATGTTCCCATTTCTGCCAGCAGTTCCTGGAAGGAACATGAGAAAGAGGAGAAGGAGCTAATCGACAGTCTGCTTGCTCACTTTTCCAAATCCACCCCGTCAGGATCAAAGGTAAGGCACATCGCCAACTGAAGCTAATTTGGCGTGATAAGTAGCACAAAATAAAACATTTTCATTGACACTTAAAAAAACTGATTAAATACATTAATAAGGAGAATCAGCTTTAAGAAGTCATCTGAAGTACATCACTAAATATCCAAAACATGGTTTGTAATGTTTTGCGTGTTTTTGATTGCTCTCATTCTGTCCAGTAGATGGAGCAATTTCATTGGCTCAATTAAAGCATTGTGTCCATTCAGAGACTTATTTAACAACCAGAACAATACAGAGTGAACAGCTCTGAATGTACGAAGCATCAGGTGAAGTCTGAATGTTTTTCTGGCTTTCTTCTGGCACTTCAGGTCTGTCTGAAAGGACCATTGAGTCCTTACAAGATAAACTTCCACAGCTTGAGCCGAAAAATCTACTGCAGGTGAGAAATTAGCTCACCAACCTTAAAAGTAAAACTCCTTTACTGATAAGGATTGTATCCTCCTGCAGGACTGCGTCTGTAGATAAAACCAGCATCAACTCCATGGCACTGAATGAAAACCCACATTTCAAATATCTGAGGATGCTGGTGGCTGCGTCTGTGTCAGTCAACTCCACCGGTACCGTAAAACATCTCTGCCTTTTATTTAAACTGTACAGTCATTTTCTGTATATTCAGTTCAATTCAAAAATACCTTATTGATCCCAAAGGGAAATTGCAGTACATATTAAAGAGGCAATATTATGTGTTTCTCAGGCATACATTTAAATACTATACCATAATAAAGTATCTATGTCACCTTTAGCTGTTATTAAAATGATGTTTTATGTTTAAATAGAAAATAAACTTGTCTTCTCATCAYTTCCTCTTCTAAACGCCTTGAAATTGGCCTCTGTCTCTTTAAGAACCACCTTCCGCTTCTGTCTCACTCATTTCGGTGTGTGAGGGGGTTCGCGCAGTTTACTTGGCATCTGAAAATACATTTCCTCAAAGGTATTTTAATCTGAAAAGAGCTTCACTGAGTGAGAACTAATGTTAGGAGCTCAGCAGACAGTTTCAGTTTCACCCGAGAGCCTGCAGGGGTTGTGGGGGGGAGGGGGGCGGTGGCTCTGCCATGAGGAAGTTAGGCTTAAAGACACGTTCCAGAGGCGTTTCTGGTCCCCACCTGTTGTTTTGCTCCTCAGCATGGCTTCCTAAAAACGCTGCAGGATTTCTCAGTCATGCATGAATGAGTCAGAGCAAGGCTTTGGGCATGTTTTTTATGAGAGTATAACGTAACATGGTATAAAACTCAAAAAAGTTGATTTTACATGAAAAGTTGATTTTTTTTTATTGCCCCTTTAAGGTGTGCCAAAAACATTGGCACTCCAAGTACTTGTAGTGTTTGCAGCTTTAACTGTATTAATGATTTAAAAGGTACACGAATACTTCTGAGAGATACTTCCCTCCTGCCTGACATCCCTGGACTGCCCGGACTGGTGATGATGCTCTTCACTCCCGTCATGGAGTTACGGTATGATAAATTCACAGCCACTGCAACTACACGAGTAAAACTTGATATTTTTATTGACAAAAATGTGTTTCGTTTTCACTGGTTTTTTTAGCACAAATGAAGAAAGGACCAGCTACACTGGTGCTCTGTTGGGCTTGGGCTTCAACAGCCAAACAGAAGAAGCCATCCTACCTGAGAACGACATCGAACTGGCCTTTGACGTCAAATTTGATGTTGAGGACATCACCGAGGTAAAAGTTGTCATCTAAGCAGCCGCAACATTGACTATCCTCTCAACGTATCTCTGATAATATTTTTATAAACTCGCCTTTTAGGGTATTTATTTATTTTATTTTATTTTATTTTATTTTTTTGTTGTTGTTGTTGTTGTTGTTGTTGTTGTTGCTTGAAAATTCCCATCATTATTGATGTCCACAAATAATTGTAAAGGATAAAATGTAGCCTCAGTGTAATTTTACCAACAATTTTTGTAGATTTTTCTCTTTTTTGCACTTTAGATTTCCAAACATATTTATAAAAATGTCAATACTAAAGTGAAATTTTAAAATCTAGTAATTTCTAGATTACTTCTCATGATGTCCTACTAATCTGCACATCTGAACTTGTGATGATTTAAACGGGGTGTCCACAGGTCCTATAAAAAGTCTTAAATTCATGTATCTAAAATTAAGGGTCTTAAAAAGTCTTGAGTATATTAAAATATGTAAGTTGGTCTTAAATTTTATTCAAAAGTCTTAAATTTTGTGGGGCAGAAGCGATTAAAGTTCTTCGTTCCCACGACAGATTTCCTAAATGTGAAAAGAGAAAAAAAGTGTTGTTGGGGTCTTCAATCCAGCATTGATGCAGGGATTCAACTGATGCTGCTTTCAACCAATAAAGAGAACCAGAGACACTGTCCTAGCCAATCAGAGCAGAGCAGGGCGGGTCCTGCTGTTTGATTCACACCGAGCAGAGACAGACTGCAGATGAAGTAGTCAATGTTTCTCTGAYCTTTTTAGTCATTTTAGGGTAGAAATCTGTTAAACTGCTAAATTAAAGTTAATTCTTTACTTTCTGTGCTTTATATTGGTGTATATTTTTTTTTCCAAATGAATCAGACAACCCCTTATTTCAAAACACCGAAATGAAAAATTTAAACTAAACAACAAAAAAGTTGTTAAAACCCCTCTTCTTTCAGAATGTCGTTGGTCTTGATAGTTCAGGTTAAAGGGCAAATTTATTGACAGTTGGCTGGATGACTAGAGGTTAAGACACAATGAAGCTATGAGCAGTTATGGCATGAATGTATTTAGTAGATGTCTTTGTTGTATGTTTCCAACCTAATAATTGCACTTGTGCAATACAGCTAATTGAATCAGAGAGCACTGAATATCTTTATATTCAATGTGTTTTATAGGCCTGTCACGATAACAAATTTTGCTGGGCGATTAATTGTCTCAAAATTTATTGCGATAAGCGATAATAT